CAGGCAAAATGTTAGTTTTGAAGATAAATCCCCACTAGGGTGAACACTCCAAGGCATGGGGTTTCTTCCCTGTAATTAGTTCAAAAATGGTTGTTCAAATTGTTCAAGAACTTTATTCAGCATTTAGGGATGCCAATGGCAACGCATCCTAAGACCTATATTATGCAGATGAGATCCAAATAGAGATTGTGTAATCTACAACACAAAGAATAGTTATTCCCACCTCTTTATACCTTCAGCTGCTCATTTTTTTTGCTGGGTTAGTTTTTGCATGAATCAGTTTCTCAAACTATTTCACAAGGAGAGATCAAGACAGGGCAGGAATAAACAGACAATGTGGTGAAGGACTAGAATTCTTCTTTCAGTTTATGCCAGCTTAAATTGTCAGATGAACCTGAGAGTCTACATTTATCTTTCCCTCTATATGCCAGACACCTGGCACTCATAAACAACTCTGATTCTAGGACAAGAAAGCCTTAGTCAAACTGAGTTTCAACACAGCCCAAACAGACCCACAACACACAAGAGCCCTTTTGTGCTCTCTTCAACTGCTGCCTGACACGTAATGTTTGATCCCACCTATATTTCAATAGAGAAAATGTGTGACAGAAAATTATATGCAGAATTAAAAGAATATTTTTGACTGTCAGACTGCAGGCACTAGAGCATTTCTCATAGTAGGAAAGACTGAGACTGATGGGACTGTTCAGCCTGGAGAAGTGAAGGCTCACAGGGCATCTCATCAGTGTGAACAAATACCTGAAGGGAGGATGTAACGAAGATGGAACCAGGCTCTCTTCAGTGGTGCCCAGCAACAGGACCAGAGGCAATGTGCACAAACTGAAACAGCAGGTTCCGTCCAAACACCAGGAAAAACTTTTTTACTGTGAGGATGACTGAGCACTGGCACAAGTAGCCCAGAGAGGTTTTGCGGTCTCCATCCTTGGAGATATTCAAAAGCTATCTCGACATCATCCTGGGCTACCAGCTCTAGGTAGCCCTGCCTGAGCAGGGAGGTTGGACAAGATGACCTCCAAAGGTCCCTTCCAACATCAACCATTCTGTGTTTCTGTTAGTATAGAATGTGATATTTCCATGTTTAATGACAATTATTGCAGCTAATATCCTGATTTGCTTTGGCTTGGATGCTTTCTAAATATTTTCTGTGGGACAGATGTCAATACTTGTGCCACAACTGAGGATAAAAAATCTAAAAATTGTCATGAATCTTATCATTTATCCAAACAAAACAAAATTATCATTGCCCCAAACACTTGCTAGTTGTCTGAGGTTAGGGCACATAGGTGTCTCTAATTTTGCTGTCACAAAATTGTCTGATACGTGTATGAGTGATAGCTTGTTGTCATCCTGAAAAAGAGAAGTTAATGAAGCTTGACTCCCTCTCCACTTATAAAAGACCACATTCTTCAAGGCAATATGAATCATGTCCCTACTATCCTCACTAAACTTCAATCAATTATTCCGCATAAAATGTTTTACTTCTCTCTGAATGACACTCTCCTCCTCTCTAAGCATGCCAAGTAGATAAACCAATGTTATCTGACACGGAATAAGTTTTATTCCAGACAGGAAGAGATGACTGAACTTGGACTTGATAACTATTAATGAGATACAACTGGAGCATGTGGTCACAGCATTGTAACTGTTTTTCCTTTTCTTTTTTTTTTCTGAGGGGCAGAAGGTTGAGGCTGATTTTATATTGTTACATGTCTTTTTTAGAAGATCTGTGTCTCTTGAATTATGCATGAGTTCTGATTCTAAACATGACTCTAACCATAAGAATCCAAAATTTTTCTCACCAGGGCCCAGTGGAATCACTATTGAGGAGAAATTGAGTGTAACAATAGAAACATGTCAGGAAAGAACGGAGAAATTCAAACCCAAACCTGTATTCAAATGATTTATTAATTTTTGATTTGTCGTTGAGAATAATGCTATTTAAAGAATAATTCTAGCTTTTATCATTTTCAAAATTTTATTTTGAAAATTATTTTATTTTTGCATTACCTAGTCCTACATTCATAAAATTTCAAGATTATGCTGGCTTTTAGTTGTTTAGAAAAGTGTATTTTATTTTTCTTGTCACATTGGTGTGTGACTTAAATGTGTTTAAAGACTCCAAAAGCTCATAAATGAAAAGAAGTTAAATGCAATATTTAGAGTTTTATTATTTTTTAGCTAATCTCATGATTTTGAAGACTGCATGGATGATTTTCTAATATTTAGAGTTGTCAGTATGTGCACACATAATGTATTGATGTTGATTGCCACATTATAAGAACATAATTTTCAATACAGTTGTTCCTGCTCTACACAGACAATCAAAGATATCTGTGAGAATCACATACTTCCTTATTAACAAAAGGTAAAAATTGATGAATAAGAATATTTTCTCAAAGAAATGAAAATCTGAATATTAGAAAAATACACAGAGGCTTGGGTTGGTAAGGTGTTGTCTGTACCACTCAACCTAAAACTTAATTTGGAAACATCAAATTCTGTAAAGTGTCAGCTACTGGACTTGGATTAAATACCTTACTACATACAATGTGAGTGATGTGGTAAGCTCCTTTTAGTAATGTAGTATATAGCAATGTTTTATCAACTTTATCTTCAAATTAGCTTCTTTGTTGCATTTATAAATGTGTCAGTGGAGTAATCTCCAAAACTCCATTGGAAATCAGTGTTATTTGGGCACCTGCCTTCCTTCTAGACATTTGCCAATTGCGGTATTAAAAAGTGAATGTTCTTCCTCTCTGATGTATAACAACTATTTTAGAGTGTAAGCTCCATGGGGCAGGGACTTTTTAATCAGATACTTGAACAGAGGCTAATATCTTTCAGATGTTATTGGCATATAAATTACTATTATCTAATATACAATGATTTTAGAACAGTTTCATGTTAAGTATAAATTAATTATCACAATAATTGTTTCTTTAAAGAAATACCCAAAGTATCTTCAGAAATATAAACCAACACACATGGTCTGCATGGTTTTTGCTTAATGGTAAAGTACAATCCCTTGATAAATGAGATAAACAGAAGCTGATGTGAAAAATTAATACAATTTATCCTAAGTCTGTGGTCCTGGCTTTCTAACAATTCCAATACCTTTTCCTGTAAGTACCTCTGAATTGAAAATATATTTCCTATTTTGCATCCTATAAAAAATGAAGCTCTTCTAAATTATATTGAGGTAGATGTATAGCAAAAGAATTAATTCAAAATAAGTCTTTTTTTACTCACATGACTAGAGAACAATTTCAAAATAAACACCTGCAATTTTTCTCCACCTTTATCATGGACCAGATGTATTTGGTTATCAGTCTCAGTATCATTCAGTAATAACTTGCTAAAACCCACAATATTTTTATTTCAATATAATTACATTAACATAAAAAGAGTAATTGCATACTAAGCTATTTCTAGTGGTGTGATAGATACTGAAAACAGAGTCGTACCACAGAAGCTTTTCATTTCTCATTATTTTCTTTTGCTTATTGTTGTTGAATGCTGGCTTTTTCTGAGGATGTGCAAATTTCATGTGGTGATGCCCTATAGCTCATAAAATTATTGTATATATGTGTGTTAAAACATTCTGTTTGTTATTTCACAGCATTGATTTCCATTAGCAATCATAGAAACATTTCAACTCAGTTAAAGGTACTAATATTTCATTTGTAAATCATAGCTTGGCTTGTGTGGACAGAAGCCTCATATCAGAAATGTGTTCATCTTCTCCGTTAGCAAGGGATATGAGTTGTGAATATCTTTATGCAACGAAAGTGAGTGCACAGACCTTTATTGTGCTGAAGTAAGAATTAATATAGCAACAAGTGAATGCATTTTGTGTATTTTTTCCTTCTATGCAGGAATATTTACATGTTTGTAGAGAAACAGTGCAGAGGATAAACAGGAATGAATTAATAGACTGCTCTAATAACAAAAAGACACACCCTGTTCACATATTTATAAGACTGGTAACATCAGTTCATGTTTTGCTCTTAGAAATATGCAGATGTAGCCAGTTCCGGAGAAAGCATATGACCCATTAACATCATTGACAGCCGATAAAGGGATTTAACAAAAAGGGTGGTGCATACTAATGTGTCAGGCCCATTCCTTAACAGGGCAGGCAGAGTCTCAAGGTGGGCAGCACTCCCATAGAAGTCAGTAGCAGAAATGTTTTTTGATTCTAAAAGAATCAGAGGTAATATGACCCTAGACAATTTAGAAAAGCTCAGGCATATGACCACGTAAGTAGCTCACTTGTTTTCTTCTAAACAAAATTAATATGTTACCATGGTACCCAAGAGGAATCCCGTGGTTCTACTTCAGGCAATCTCTCATTGTTCTGAGTAAGAGATGAGCAAGGACTATAGCAACTAGCCCTGTGGTTTGCTGAGCTAATCATCTGCCTATGTAAATCTGCATAACAGCACTGTTTTAGTGGCACGTGTTGCATTTTCTGACAAAAATCCAAGTCCTATACTTACAAGCAGAATATAATTAACATGAAAACCCATTAAAATACCCTCTCTCTGAAAAATATCTGATCTTGTTCAGATAGCTCTCATTTTACAAATGTCATTGTTATTTCAGCAAAAATGTCTCTTATATTAGTTGGCATATTAGTCCAAATAGTTGAAATTCAGTCAAGACTCTCCCTTCAGTTGTCTTATTTGTTATTTTACTGCAGTATATTCATTCATATACCTTGCTACCGTTTCTTGCAGTGAAAGAAATCTTAATAACAAATTTTGTAACCACTACATGCAGTAGTATGTACATTAATATTCACATTGTATAAGCTTTGCAATATAGATTACACGATGCACTTGTCGAACTGTGATACTCAGAGCTCTTAGGGCCACCTCTATTTGTATGTCACTTCTTTATTTCTGTCCAGGAAGAAAACATTAAAATTACATAAAGCAACTTCCATTCACATGAAATCCTTATGCTTGTCTTTCCAGGTCCTGAAGGGGTTTCCAGAATGCTTACAAGCTGACATTTGTCTGCACCTCAACCAAAATTTGCTTCAGAATTGCAGAGCTTTTCAGGGGGCCAGTAAAGGCTGTCTTCGAGCTTTGGCTATGAAATTTAAGACAACACATGCACCTCCTGGAGACACTTTAGTGCACTGTGGAGATGTTCTCACTGCTCTCTACTTTGTGTCAAGAGGCTCCATTGAAATCCTTAAGAGTGACATTGTTGTAGCCATTCTTGGTAAGTAGACTACTACAAGGCATGTTAAAAGCCCGGGGGTTGAAAATAAATATCCATTGTTCTTCCTGGAGAAGGAAATTTGGAAATGTTTTACTCACTGTTATTTAAAATCAAGCAGAGAAATAATTTGTTTAAAGAGCAAAATCTAGATTACTGCAATAATGCATGTGCATCAAAGAGCCCATATCCTTGAATATCTAAAATACAAGAGCAAGACTGAGTCAGATTTGTCCCTATGTAAGTGGTAAGCTGCAAGTCGAGGCAAGCAGATACAGAATTACTCCAGTTCAGATTATGCTGCAAGAACCAAAGTCAAGGATACCCTTTTCTTGAACAGTATCTGAGACACATAGACCCCCTATATGCTAACTGGAGAAAAACATGTATCTACTTTAGGAGTTCCAAATGTCTTCTATAGGTTTTCAAAAATGTCTGCTTCTGCCCACTGAGAGTATAGAAAATAAGAGAATAATATTAATCTGATCTAGATCAATACTTAAGTGCAATAACACCAGCGTTTCCCCTATATTTCTTATTCTTGTTTGTATAGCATGCAGAGTTACTTGTTTTCTTTCCCAATGAAGATGGCTGAGAGCAATGTTCAATCCAGCTAGGTGCTCACCTACAGCTGGTGATGGCTCTTATGTGGAACCAATAAAACTTCACTAGCTACAGCAATTTCAAAAGTAAAAAACTAAAACCCTACCTAAACAAGACTACTGATTTGTTTCTCCAATTTAATATCAGGTAATAAGAATGCAAAGAATAATTAGGTAGATGAGTAAGGGTTTTGCTGTATAGAAACCTACACCAGCTGTTAACATCATCCATATATTCTCCCTTCCGTTTATCATTCATCGTAGGAACGTGCAGTCAGAAAAGTAGCTGAAGCAAAATGTGGACTGGTAGCAGTATGTTGCTATTAATCCACTTGTGACTGATTATTCTGCTAGTACTTTGCAGGTGGATACCTGAGCAGAAGTACAAAGGTGTGCCTACAGCAATCCTTCCCTAGGTTCAGATGGTGCTATCAAGATAATTTGTCATCTCATGCTGTTGCACTTCATCAGCTGGGCCAGCTTTAGGCACAAGCAAAGTAGGGAGCATGCAAGTATAACACTGTGAGGTTTTTATTTACTTGTGTGAGTGTCTTCCCCTGATTGCGAATAATGTGGTTCATTGAGGATTTCATCTCAAATCATGTGAATTTCTATAGGACTCACAATCAAGAAAAACTGACAAGTTTATGAACTCATTAATTTCTTCCTGGATGAAAGATGCAGACTGGCCAAGTTTTGCATGTTATGCACATCAGATCCCTGTGCTCTCAAACTGCAGCAGAAACCCAGGTATTTGTAGGGCAATGCCACTATATCTCTTGCAACCTACAGCTCCTCACACCAGGGGCTGCAGTTTTGAGCCCTGCTCTCCCAGGGAATGGTGGTCCAGACAGAGAGACAATTGTGCACAGCTGCAGCCAAAAGGAACTGCTCTGTGGGCCCACATCTGTTGCACAGTCCATGAGGCAGCAGCCTGCCTGGTAGCTGACTGCAGTCAGTGAGTGTGTGGTATCTTGAAGAATCTGCTAAAAAATAATAGATGATACAAATGAAAATTACTCTGCAATGAAATCACACAGAAGCCTAACAAAGATTATCATTACTTAGCCAAACATTTTCAGTTAATTCATGTTTCTGAAAAACCTACACACAGAAATGGACATAAAAAACACTCAATGCTTTGTCACCTGGGGTTGAAAAGACTTCAGTCCAACAGAGGTAGCATGGATGAAGTTTCCAGCCTTAACAGCTATTGCAACTTCATCACAGAAATCAAAGAGTTCTGAGAAATGTTAGTTTTTTCACCCAGTTTTCCTCAATTTGTCAGCACTTACTGCTGAGTAAGGTCTGATCAGTACTAACATGACAACAGTAATTCTGCCAAATCCTTAGAAAATACCATGGCTGGAGACCTCGTAGAATCCACCACCTCTTTTGGCTTTGCAGACAAGTTATAAAAATACTGTGATCATGTTAATAGTCATATTGCAGAGAGAATATTACATGCCTTGAATAGGGACCTCTGCATTCTTAAAGGCCAGAAGGATTATTAGATATATTGGCTAACCTCTGTTATATCACTGACTCCTGTTGCATTTAATTCCTTTAACTATTTCTTGTGTCTAATAAACTGTGTTTGATGAAAGAAAAGCAACAGGTCTTGGTCCGAAGACATAAAGAGATGAAAAAGTGATCACTTTTCTTCGCAGTTTATTTCCATAGTTAATTATTTTTATTGTTAAAAATGTATGCTTTGTTTCTTATATAAAATTATCTCGCTTCAATTCCTTTCCATTGGTTATTGCTATGCATTCCTTACTATATTTTAGAGGCATTTAGCACCAAGTAATTTTTCCTCTCTATAAGGATATATGCAATATAATCAGGTTACCTCTTAATCTTCCTGTCGATAAGCTAAACAGACTGTGCTTTTTAAGTACCTTACTGTAAATCAGCCTTTAAATTATTTTTTGCATCTTTTAGCTGCTTGCTCACCCAGTTTTCAGCTTCTTTTTTAGAAAATGGAGAAACCAGAACTACTTGCAGTAACCTAATATAAAAGCCACAAATGTTTCAGAGAGGAAAAATCACCCCTGTATTCTTTTTTACCAGTCTAGTGTTTCTCAGTTGCTATGACCACTGTTCTTTTCCACAAGTGATTTGGGGAAAACGAGGAATTAAATAGAGATGACAATTTTAACAAACAGGTGCTGCGAATGTTTCAACATTGATGGAAAGAATTGTAAAAGTGTCAAAATAGAGGCAGCTATGTTTAAACAGCTTCTTCAAAACTGCTGCATCTTGGAAGTTTTGCATTCCCTCTGAAAAATATAAAAACTAAGTAATTTTCTACTAAAAAATATTTCAAGTATGGTCTGTCTCTTCATGTAATTCTTAACAAAATGAGACTCCAGGCCAGGCGGGTCCCAAACTCTACTAAAACCAGAAATTACACATTTGTCATCATAAGAATATGATTTAAATCAGCAAATAATGTTTTTACAAGGATAAAGGAACCTGCTCTAGTCATGCTGTTTTGATGGAACTGAAGGAAAACTGTGGTAAAACTATATTTTCTTTTCATCCAATTATATGCCTACATAATTTCATTGATTTTAATAATTTTACTTTTAATATTTAATAATAATACTTTTGATTTACAACAACATATGTGCAATGGTAATCTGATTGTATCACTTCATATAATATCACGTATTCTACACCATTATCATAAAGAAATACATCATTCAATATAATGTCTTATGCATGCTTAAAATAATAATCTCCATCTAATTTTCTTTCTGCAGGGAAAAATGATATTTTTGGAGAGATGGTACATCTTTATGCAAAACCAGGAAAGTCAAATGCAGATGTGAGAGCTTTAACTTACTGTGACTTACATAAGATCCAGCGAGAAGATCTACTAGAAGTTTTGGATATGTACCCCGAATTTTCTGATCTCTTTCTCACCAATCTAGAACTGACTTTTAATCTGAGAGATGAAACTGCAAAGGTACATACAATAAGTGATCTTTTTTCTTAATATTGGGCTGAATCTGTCCCACAGTAACAAAACTTGAAAATAGCAATTGAAAAACCAAGGTTAGCAAAATTAAAAGCTGAAAGCCTGAGGCCAAATCCTATTTTAAAAAAATATACTCACCTGATTGCTCCTACTGAAGTCAGTTAAACTCAGCAGAAGTCTATGAAATGATTCAGATGATGTTAATCTAACAGGATTTGTTTCTATATTTAAATAGTATTAAAGTTTTAGCCAGGGGGATTTTGGATGTTTTGTTAAAGCCAGGGAAAATATGGTTTTTTCAGATTACTATAGCCTGGGTCACCACAAGGGGAACTTTTGACACTAAATATAATTGTATAGCCATAAAACGAAGATAAATCAGATTATCCAAATTCATTCTGTGTCTAACAATAGAAAATATTTAATTGCCTTTCAAACATGAATTGTTAATTCTCTTATCTTGGAGTGCACCCTACCTCCTAGGAGACTAAAAGTATACAAAGGACTTTTCAAATTCCACTCAGTCTTCAGATTTGCAGGGATTTCTTGGTCTCCTTTTCCCACAGTGACTGTCCTAAGTGTCCCCCTTTGCACAGAGTGCATCTTCAGGGAAGTACAAAAATTACTAGGGTTTCCTATTTCAGACTGCTGGGATGAGTCTGAATTGGGAAAGAAAGAGGACATTTGGCTAGAAAGGGATTGGGGAAAGGCTATTGCCCAGCTCATGCTACTTGGGCTAAAGCTTTCCCTAGAAAGTTGCAGCGTACACCAGCACTGGCCACCAAACATGGACTATACTGCCCACAGAATGACTGCTTTACTTTTCATTATCTCTGAAATACTGCCATTTTGTGGTTTCTTACTATACTTTTAAGTAAAAACAGAGGTTCAGTGACAAGGAACTAACATAATCTGGCCTCAAAGGCCTTCTGAGAAACAAGGAGACAAAGAACACCAAGTTTTAGGCTGTAAATGATAGGGACATCTTTGCTAATCACATGTGGATCTTTAGTTTAAAAAATTAAAACAAATATAACTTCTGACAAGAAATGTCACTTCTTTTTATGCTGAGCCTTTTTTTAATAAAAGACTGTTCTGAAAATAAAAGACCAATTCTGTTCTTTATTTTTAAAGTCATCTGGTTTTGTTTGTTGAAAAGGTCATCATTATTAATTACATGTGAAATACAACACAATGAATTTATGGTCCAGTGATAAATTTAAGTCAAAACCGAAAGTCCATATATTTGAAAAATTCCTTGAAGTTAAATTCACATTATCGATTTTAGTCTGAGCAATCATTTCCTGCAATTACATTGTCATCAATGTTTTATCATTATTTTTTCCTTAGATCTGAGAAAATTGAAACAAAATTCCATCTTCTGTGTTGTGGTGTAGAATACACAAAGACAGTCCTCACTGCCCATTTTCCTTAGAAATTTTTCAGCTGTTATTTCTTACGGCTGTATCAGCCACTAAGAAAAAAATTGCTAGACTTCACAGACAGAAAGGGAGGACAGGCTCACCCATGCCTCTGAGCTTGTAAGATCACAGTTTTCTCTAGCAATTCCACCTGCTTTCCACCGCCTATTGCAATCCAGAAAAATCATCCCCAAAAGAGGTGATGAGCACATTCTGATCTTCAAAACATCACTCAGATCCAGACTTGTTATCTGAATAATAGGTGCTTCTGCCTCAACTTCTACTCCTGTCCTCATATTTATGTAAAAGTGCCTTTTTCTTCCTGCAGTTATTCTACCAGTGGGCCACCACTGAAGCACCTTACCTACCAGGTTTACAATGAAGGGAATAGAGAAAGATGTAAACACTTCCCACTTTTTCCCTCTGCCCTTCTCCCACATGCAAATCTGCTTACTTGAGTGAGGGAAACCTCACTAGCACAGGGAAGGGAAGTAGGCTGAAGCCAATGCCATGGGTATGTTCACAAAGAAAATAACTGGTGTTATATTTGCTTATCTTTAAATTTCTCAGTTTTAAATAAGTAGAAAGAAGAGTTAAATGCATTTTGTGTTTATTATGGCAAAAAAAAAAGGCACATCCATCTTTTATGATGGATAGAAAAAGACAACATTCTGTTCTGCTATGGAAATAGTATTTGAATGAACTGAATCTGACAGAGATAGAGGACCAGAAAGATAAAATAATGAGAGGTAAAGGGTCTAGTGTTTGTCAGCCTTATATTTATTGTTGTAAAATGTAACCTTTATAATCATTACTATGTAGTTATATAGAAATCTAATTACAATCAGTTACCATATTACTTCTTGCAATAATATACATTCTCTGTTAGAGTTTTTTGGGGTTTTTTTTTCATTAATTTCTCTAAGATTACTTAAACCACATCTGTGCAAGTTCTGGAAGCTGATAGCACATGAACAAGTGCCTTTCCATGTAAACATCTTATCAGGATACTTTTGTCTCACCATCAGATGGTGACATTGTTGGGTTTTCTCAATCTGCATGAACTTTTTAATGTTAGCGTTGAGCCAACCATTAGCTGGGGATGGAGAAGTTGATGTAGACTGACTTGTGTAATATTGCCTTTCTTAAAGCTTGAACGTGATTATCAGTCAATCACCTACTGAAAACCCGCTCTCTTTAGATGGGACTAATCTGTCATTATGTTTCATATTTCATTAATCAAGTCTGACCTCGTAATAAGATCACAAACTACTAATGATACGGGCGGAGATAACTGCAAACTACGAAGACGGAAATTGTCCTTTCAAAGTGAAATAGAGAAAGGTAATTAACTTCATTTCTTACATTAGACAGCACTGCTTCATTATGCATTGGTATTTCACTCGGTAATGCTGGGTACATTAGGGTCCCATGTTGGCTGTTACTGTAGTAGCTCTTCAAAATCCAGCTGAGCAGCAAAAACACTCCATGCATTGTCCCCTATATGGTTATATATGACTACAGGATACCAGTTTCACCCTTCCATGACTTCACACCTATCAGCGTAGAGCTGTTCAAACACTACGCCTTATTGCCTTTGAGATATACATATATATATATGTATATTTTCTCTTAAACAGTATCTATTTTCTGACACCATGTTTTAAACTGTTTGGAGAAGCTAGTCTATTGGATTATATATTAGCAGAGTTGATTTTATTTCCTCAGCGAAATGCTTTGTTGAACTTGATGCTAGGTAGTGTTTATCCCTGGAATTAAAATATATTGTTTTCATAACACAGTAGATTCACTATATTCAGATTTTTATTCATATGGTAATGTGTAAATGGTTGTCCTGGCAAGAGTTCAGGTAACATTTCTGTGCTTACGTTCACCTTTTGGGAGTAATCCAAATGAAAGGAAATTCTGTGAAAGATTAAACTATGTCACCAGGATTCAGTACTGCTGAATACCAGGAACTGTAGACAGTAGCTGTGGTCAGACAACAGCAGTCATGAAGACAGCTAAACTGATGCTCACAGGATTTTCATTTTTATGTAGAAAAAGCACAATTCTGTGAATAACATTACACTTTTATGGTCCAATGGTTTGTCTGACAAATTACTGGTTTTGCTATGCCTGTCTTTCACACTCCACAATTAAACCCCAATCCTAAATGCAGCATAATACCAATTTATAGAGTAGCTGATAATGAATGGGAACATTTTAAACATACATAGCAGGTATAATGCTTGATAAAGGGAGACTTTAATCCAAAGTGTGGCTACTCAGAACAATGACATTGCCATTCGATCAAAGAAGCGTCTTTAGGGCAGGAAGCCAAGACTGACAACAAATCTGTCAGGAAAATGTCCGCATGAAATATTCAATCTGCTCTTCACAAAGAATCTGTTGACAGAGGCGCTTTGCCTGAATAACCTTCACATTTCTTATGAGAAAACATATGCTGCCACCTAGACAAGATGGAAGTGATCTTTCATGTTGTGCCTGCTGCAGAATTACAAATAGGCTCATCAGGTGTCAATGTGGTACCAAGGCCCTTAGGCTTTTATGGTTCTTGCCCAGTAGATTACACTGAACATCCTCTTGGAGACATTTATTTGCATTACTTTTCAAGAAGTATTTATATTCAAAGAATATAAATTCCCACAGTTTTGTCTTTGAAAAAAAACCACCTTGCACCATTGAGGAAGAAGACACAAGACTGGTAACAAGCTCCTTAGTCCTGATGATGACTGTATAGTGTCTGGTAATGTCTGAGTTAGACAGAAATGTGGCACATTGGAAGTCCATCTGAGGAGAAGATGCAATTTTAAGAGTACTTTGCCAAGAACTTTTGGCCCACTGGCTTACTTCCTCTCTCTTGTCCCTGTTCAGATTCTCTATATGTTTTCATAGCCACAGCAGACACTTCGTAGTCATAGATCTGCAATGTCACTTCTCTGTGGCCCATCCTAAATCCTGTATGAGGTTGTAGAGTACTAGAGCTTACTACCGTCTTGTAAAGTAATATTCTATTGATTTCAATACATTACATAAAGGAGGGAGTGGCATCATATTTTGATCCAGCATAGTTAGTCTACCATGATAAATATTCGGGGATGAACCCGCAGAGTGCCTCCGAAGAAGCAGAAAAGACCAAGCTCCTGAACACACAGCTGGCAAATGCATTTCTGGTCACAATATTCTTACAGATAAAAAATATGCCTTATATGATGACTTTTAACAATCATGTTTTGTCTTCAGAACTACACTTTGAACAGGATAGATACACACAACATTCTCACTTTTATATTTTGATATTTTACATCTCACTAAATTCTTGTTGACTTGTAATTATTGGGGGGGGCAGTTGCCATGAAATGGCATTCTTTACTTTCAGCTGTTGAACTACTAGACTATTATGCAGCTTGGAATTGTATTGTTTCCATCTTTAGTGTGATCATCAGCGATTTTCTCCCTTTTGGTGTGCTAAAAATGGGATTGTGTTATCTCAGCCTTTAGTTCATGCTAGCCTGATTTGGATCTTGTTGCCATGGCAACCCTTCCTGCACGAGTTTTATCAGGGGTTAAATAAAATCAACACAGCGCTCTGTTATGCATCTGCAGTTAGTACCACTACTTTTCCAATTTCACACAAGATCTTCTCACTCCACCTATACATATTTCCACCATTTCTTACCTGTGTCAACAAAAATTGGTCTTACCTAGTACATTGGGCTCTGTCATAATGTGATTTTAAAGGGTACAAGGCTTCTTGAGGGACCAGCTTGTTCTCTGGTTTCCAGAAAGGACTGCAATATCACAAGAGGCCCCCTGCAAAAATTAACACACACACACTACATAGCGGCTTATTCTTGCTCTCACCCAAAAGAAATTCATTGTATGTCTTTCAGAATAACTCCTTGTACAGGTGCAGGTGCAGCTTTAGACAGTTGCCTAGATGCTTGACAGTCAGCCAAGAAACTCTCTCCATGACTGCTTAAAATAAGCAGTATTCCTGCCTGGCAGTTCCAAACAAAGCTCTCAGCTGGGTTGGCAAGTTAGTCTTTGCTGAAAACTGAGGGACAATGAGCTGCTCCATCTACATTCAGTCTCTTTCAGCAATGCAGAATACAATCCTTTCTTGCCCATTTCTCATTTTCCTCTAGTAGTTCTGTGGGAGTCAGCTACTTTCAAGGGAAATACATGGGGGAAAGAAGTTTCTTTTGCTCTGCTAGTTCTAAGTGCAGATCTATTATCCCATGCTGAATGGGGCATTACTAAAGTTGGTTACATCAATATGAAATACAAACATACAGGTCAAAAATGCAAAAGTTACGGGCAGAGCGTAAGTAAGCTCACTGAGAGCTTGAAAACTTGAGGCTTTGAAGACTTTTCTGGAGTTAAAGCATTATTACTTCTACTGGCATCTTGATTAACTTTTTGTTAATGTTGGCTCTAAAATCTTAACCTTCTTGGGTCTGTTCCAGTGTCCAATTATTCTCATTAAAAGATATTCTTTGCATTTAACTTTAACTCATGTAACCCTTAGCTGAAGGCTATCAAAATTCTGGATGTGTTCTGGGCACTTATACATAATTTTCTTGAAGCCCTAGAAGCTCTCCAAGGAGAAAACTAACTGAGGGCTAAAACTGCATTTGCTACATAGCCAAATCATAGCCACTCTTTGTTCTTTTGACAGGGCATATAAAATCTTTCCGTCATATCCAGAATAATTAAAATACTGGCTAAATAAACTAGCAGGGACATGCTAACTGGAAATGTAATAATGACCTCACTGAAATAAATCCTTATTCTAGATTTTTAGCTGTGATCCAAAATCAAGAATGTCATCCTATGGACTCTAGTTGAGAGGATAAGAACTCCAATGGCATTGAATTGTTAAATCAGTAACCAGAGATTCAGGTAGCTAATGCTACTTTAACTTTTGTCAGCTGGAACTCATAACAAGAATTTTTATTTCCATGGACGTGATTTTAAAAGGCCACAAAAGAAAGATCTTACAAAATCTTGTTACACAATTATTGCATGCACTTGCCCATGTTGACACAGACTGTAACAATCAAGTGGGATATAAAATACATTTTGCAGTGTTTAATTTTTAGCATATTGTTAACTAAGTAAACTTATATAGTACTGAAATTTAATTTGAAGTTATGCTTCTTGACCAGACTTTTCCAAAGGTGTTTACCGACCTATTCTCAAACTAAGCACAGAAACCAGAGCTCTAATAAACTTCTAATTGAATCTTGATTAGTATAGCCACCTTAAGTGTGCAGTGCTTGTAGGTACTACCCAGACTAAGAAGCCAAACCATATTAACATAGCTTTATTACACAAGATATCCAAAGGCCATGGCTGGCAATATAGAAGGCAAGGAAATCTTTCAGGAACTGATTCTCCTGCCTAAAAGTATGAGGTGAAGCAGTACTGAGAGAATGTGGAAACACCTCCCTGCCCCTGCTCTCTCCCATTCTTCTTCCCTTCCCCCAATTTGTTTATTTAAATGCTTACTTTATAAAGAGATGACTCAGCCAAGCACTGTGCTGTGTCCCCAGCAAGAAAGTAGGGTAAGAATCTGGACAAAAATTGAAGCTCTTACTTAACTGTGTTAAGCTGTTAGTATTATGCTGATGAAGTTTGCTTGGGCTTAATTAGAAAAGAGCTTCTAATATCCAGCCAGAGTGTTAGGTGGTTAAATGACAAGGAAACAATATCTTGGCAGGCAGCATATGGCTTGAAACAAGACCTCATGTCCCTGAAAACTTACCTTCAGCATGAAACTCTTGACAAAAAGTATATGGTCATCAGACAGCCCATCAGTGCAGTTTTCTATCCGCTCCTATTATTGTTACTGTTATTGCTGTTACCACAGTGCTTAGGAGCCACCTCAGGGAGCTTCCACAGAAAACTCTTGTTTCCAGGAGTTTCTCCCAGAGAGGCTGTTTCCAGAGGCCGAAACTGATCAAAATGTTGTATGCAGTCATACAAACTCATAGCCATCCTTTGAAAAAAAAGTGATAATAGTACTAAAGTGAAAGCTGAATTCCTTGTAAAAGAGAAGATAATTCTAAACTTGATAGACCTGTTTTGGCCTTTGCCCTGATTCCCTTCTGAGGTACATGTTTATAATTCTTTGTTTCTGATTTTTTAAGTCTAATATTATTTCCTGAAGTATAAACCAAGAATTGCCCTTCCATTATTATCTGATTAGCATTAAAGTTGATACAAAGCCACACAGAGCAAGAAAATTCAGAGATAAGGCTGTCACCCATCCCTAACTTATCTCATTGTACTAAAAGTGTCACAAAAGAATAAAT